GGGGCCTTGAGTTTGACACCTGTGCACTAGCTGAAGTTGTTGCTCGCGAGCCGCTTCTGCGCTATTCAGTAGGTGTTAACTCTTTCAGGGACAGCTTATCATGTTATCAGGTTACGGGGTGCATGAAAGGGTATTAATGTGGCGCAAAATGCACATTTTTGACCGGCAAACTGCGATGCGAGGTTGCTCATTTCAAGCCTAAAGTCTGATTAGATGGTGGAGCTCTCTACTGAGTGGCATTCTACTGAAATCAAAGCTGCCAAGTTGTACTCGTGCGGCAGTGTTGACATTAGCCGATCCTTGGAGACTCATCGAGGAAGACATCGAGATGCTATCTTGATTCCTCTGACCGCATCGCTGCCCCTGCATTGTTCCACTGCCCTTTCCTTGTTAACAGTCCGTGCACTTCCACCATTTCCTCCCCCTCACCGCCTCCTCCTCCTCCTCTTCCTCCTCCCTCGTCCTTTCCCCTTTTCCCTCATTCATCAGTCAGCGTTGCTCTCATCGGGGGCAAGTGGACTTGAACGTGGGCTCGCCGCCCCGCCCGCCCAGGCAACAAATCACACATCACCACCCGGGCCACACGCCGCCACTTTACAAGTTTGGCACAGTGTCGGCATGTCTTATTTACTGCGAAGCGCAGCTGGGGTGGGCTCGAGTCAGGCGCAAGTCATCAATTCTCATTAGATATGTTATGACAGAGCAAGATTGTGTGACTTATGACGTGCTCAACTCAAATAACGGGTTGCATCGACCTGCTTGAAATGTAGTCGGGATCCGACTTGCTTGATTTTCGCCACGTCAATTTGGGACTTGTTTGAAACTTGAGGGGTTATACTTGAGTCACTGATGACTTCCTCCCAGCTCTGCCACGAGAATACTTTTTCCCCAGCTTTAAAAATGCCTTCAGCCATTTTCCTGATCATATCCTCGTCTAATGGCTTCTCTTTACTTCACCAAACCATACAAACTGTAGATGATTGGTCTTCACGATTTTTTTTTGGGGGGGGGCAGATTTGAGTGGGGAAAAAAGTTGTTATTTCATGGGTGCAATGAATCGTCCAAACTTCACGGTACTCTCCCGAAAAGAAATAACTCGAAACCGGTTATTGTTTACCCCACAGCCCTCATCTTTGACATTTTGCCTTTTCTCCTGGCACATCCTCCAATGACCGAGGCGGGACCGGAGCCCGTTTTGCTAAGGTTCTAATTATCAAAAGCAGAGATCTGTGAGGACGGAGAAAGGAGGAGGAAGAGGGGAAGACGTCCTAAAAAAAAAAAGCATAATCACACCCCACGGTGCAAGCGGCTGCCAGGATCCGAATTTAGAACCGGTAAAATTTGCTCAACATGCTGGAGAAGCTAGTTCGTTGGGCTGTGTAAGAATACGTCGACACAAGAAGGCACACTCGGTTAGCGTCGTACTTCCTGGGTTTAATTTGATAGTATTGTTTCTTTTTTTCATAAAAGTATTTTTCCGATATATATTTTCTGTTATTCTGACTTCACTATTGCGTTTGCGTCGGTTCGTGATCGGCTATGACGCGTTGACGACAAATTGGGATTCCGATACCGCTATACCAACGCAACTCCACCGTAAACCGAGGACCCCCGTATCTTCATTCAAATGTTGGATAAAAAGGAATCCAAATGTTTTCTTGCCCCTTACCTGTAAATTTGATGTGACAACTTGAAATTGCTCACAAGTATGACTTGATGTTTTTCCATTAGCTCCCTGCCGTTGGCTGCCATTTCGTCCGGGGGGGTGCATTCCGCCTCTCTCCAGTACAGTGGACCGGTGGGACCCCCTTAATCAATCACGCTCTCCTCGAGAGGGCCGCCGTTAATGAAGCAGCGATGATCAAGAGACCCTGCCGCTAAACAAAGAAACCCCCGCCGGAGATAGCGATCAGTGACGTCGCAGGCGGCTCTGTGCTCGGGAAGCAAAAGAAGAGGACGGCGCAGCTTTTAACGGGCTGTCACATCCTCTCCGCAACACACTGACCCACTTTTTACCCCACCCGACTTTGGCGCATCGGCGACGGATGCTCTTCTCCCAACACGTCACGTCCCGCTGCGGCCAGACTAAACAATGCGTCCATGCATGCGTACCGTGTTTACTTTACACCCGCCCCTATGAAGGCGCCGTGTTGTAACATTAGAAGGCTGTTCTTATCCTTTTCTGAAGCTTTGACTCTGGTTCTTCGTTGTGACGTCCACGAATGGGTAAGATGGAGAATGTCTGGACGGGTTAGTAAGTCTGCCTCACAATTATGAGGTTTGGGGGTTGAAATCTTAAGTTAGGGTCATTTTTAGAGTTGGATGGAGAATGCGCGAGTAGGAAAAATGCCGTTTTCTGTGTCACATTCCAACAGCGACGTCTATTCCAGTCTCGCACTCTGTGACCTTTCGCCGGAAGCACTAAAGCTATGTTTTCATCGAATTTCCCCTCACAGGCCTTCAACACTCTAATCTCATGTTTATGTGCTTGGACTTGGGACTCATCAATATATGCACGGGAGTAAATGGGATTAAGGTGGCGTGAAAACCAACTGGGGTTTATTGGTGCGTTTTTATGGCTACCTTGGAATAATAATGCAATAAAACAACGCTAGGGTAATCATCAGCCACCTGCTAGATTTTCGTAGTTTTTTTTTTTTGAAGGCATCATTTGTGATACAGATCTAATACTGGTTCTCAGATGACTGCCAGTGGTTATAATGTTGTGGTTTGTGTATATTAAGACTCGTTGACATGTTTGTTTTTTTTTTCCTGGCTCAAATTGAGGCGTTACCGTTACATCAGACTGCCCACTGACTCATCAAACACTTTTTCTGTCAAGTAATGTCTTGCGTTGTGTTCTTAGCGATTTCTTTTTCATTAGTGATTTTTTTTTTTCCGGCTTTGCAATACTTCCTCTCACCTTGAAAAGAAAAGGACTCTCCTGTTTTAAAAGATAGCTCTGAGAAGTTCAAAAAAATCAGAGGATACTTTTTTGTTTCATAAAATGCATGTTCTACCAGTGTGATTTCATGCAAACACTGAGACATACTGAATACAATAATTTATTTTTGTTCCATTGAAATAAAACATGGATTTTACAAGGCCCAACTTCCCAAGGTTGTAAATGGAGAAGCAACAGCGACCAGGCCAGGCCACTCGGCCATTATTTCGCTTTGGAAATGAGATGACCGCTCTTGACTTGAGGGGTGTGCATTTTTTTTTCTCTTTTTGCCTTTTTAGGATGCGAAAAGCTTGGTCATGGAATGTGGAGACAATTTGCAGTTAGTCTGCAATTGTGTGAATGTCATTTAGTAACCTGCCTTAAAATCTCTTTAACAAGCCCTGGCACGCCTTCCACTGTTTGTCACCGATAGTCTAATATTCTCTGTGCGTGGCAGTTGAGATTGACTCGAAATGCTGGCGGTGACTCAGAAGGCGGAGGAGGCGTCTGCTTTGTGTGGGCGCTGTTGTGTCGGACGTAAAGTGGATGGTTGCTGCCGAGCAGTGAACGGGCGTCATTAGATGTCGACACTTCTCACTCAGGTAGTTGGCTAATCTGTGACTGACAATGATACACGCAAGTGCCCCGACGTATGAACCTTTCAACTTACAAGGTGTAACTTGATCGGTGTGTTGTTTTTGCGTTTCGGGAAAATATTTACCTATCAAGTGAGCTTCAGTATGACATGCAAGCGCAAGTGAAGTTAAACGAAAAAGGAGCAAATTAAGGTATTGGAATGGAGGGGGTGGGGGGGTTGTTTCTGCCTAATAATGTTTCACACACAGTCACTTAAAATTGGCTCTGCCAAGTTCTGGGTGCAGAAACCCGTCGTGGGTGGCGGTTATTTAAATTGGCTCCGCTATTAAGCAAAAGTGCGAAAGGCCTCATTCACAGACACATTTTTCGAATCAGGCATGCAACTGACAAAACATGCACATTGTTGTTTCATTGATACGAGATGGGTGGGCAGACACTGCAGAAACACAACTATTAGTACACAAGCTATTAAGAAAGTATAATTTTCTTGATATTTCCATTTGAAAGAATGTCAATGCGCCAAGGACAGCGTCAATTTAACATTTACAAGCCAAAGTCTTAATCCCATATTTGTTCTGCTCATGAATTTTGTAGCCAACTCCATCCCTTATGTCCCTCTGTGATAACAACCTCGGGGGGATGATGGAATCTCAGCCCCCAACTGATTTCCAAAGGCCTGCCAGCATGTAGCATTTGTCCGCAGTTGCTCCACACCCCCCCCCCACACACCCCCACCCAACTAACCCTCTCCTCGTGCATGTCAGGTCGACATGTTGGATTCCTTTGAGTGCTGAGCCACCTAGTGGCCAGTCAGTACTACTTCATTTCGTGTGAGGAATCTGCCATTGAGCCAATGTTTTAGTTTAGAAAAAAACCTCACAGCACACGAGATAAAAATGTCTTTTAAAACGATTAATCGACAACTAAAAGGTTATCGAAGTATTTGACAATTATTTTGGATTTTCTTTTTTTATCGTCCTAATGCTCGGAATTTCAGCTTCTCGCATGAAATTGGACTGATTATCTTTGTTTTGAATCAAAATAAAACAATTGCTTTGACTTAGAAAATAGGCAAAATGATTAATGATTGTTTTCCAAATATGTTATGGACCGAACCAGTAACTGAAGCATGATTAATTTGTTTGTGCATTGTCAATTTGAAATAATGTCCTGTTTTGTTTTGTTGGGGGTGGGGGGGGGTCATTTCTTTTGTTGTTGTTTTTTTTTTTTTTTTTTTTTTTTTTAATAAAGGGATGGAAAGTTTTTTAAAAGCACCTTATTTATCGCCATATTCATCAATTATTAGTATAATTATGAGTTGCAGCCCTAACAAGTAAGTCGATATGTCAGTCCCACATACTTCTAGGGCAATGGCAAGTCAGCGTCATCAGATCCCTGGCAATGTAGATCACACGGGAACATTTGTCCAGAAAAAGTGACTTTATTCTTTCTTTTCAAGTTTCAACGTGTGTCAGCGGGACGCAACTTGACAGATCAAGACTTCACCACGTGGCGAGAGGCAGGGCTTACCTCCGGAATCATGTTCATCTGACACTCAAAACGGTGAGTCGAGGAACAGGCTTTTTGCATGTCAGTTTGTCCGCGGCGTTTGTAAGCGGCCGTTACATGTCGACTTATCGTCCCGCGTCAAATTGTGTTTGTATTTCAACCTGCTGTCAGGCTCACAACATTCTCCTTGTAAGATGTGTGTACCATTCTTTAAAGAAAACCTGAGCGATAAGTCGAAACATTTTTTCCCAGATAAATCGAAACGCATTTCGGAATAACACAATCACTTAGCAAAACATAGCAATAAGGAAGAGAATGAGACGGTTCGCTGTTCAGTCTTTACAGTGAGATTTTTAATTGCCAATATTTCACAAATTCTGCCATGGTTGAAACGGTTCAAAAGTTTGCAAGAACGGCATAAAAAGACAGTTTTCTGTAGTTGCAAAATCAAAGCCTCTCTCTCTCTCTCTCTCTCTCTCTCTCTCACTGACTTCCTCTTCCTGTCTCTCGCACGCTCGCTCTCTCGTCCAACGTTTGTTGTTCCACTGTTACATTTCATGAGACACGTGAGTTGTGCTGTAAGCTGTTTAGCGCAGATCTTTTCATCATCTCCCTCTCGTTCTGTCCTAAGCTGTATAAGTTATAGGGCCGTGGAAGTATCCATATGGTATGCACTGATCTCACTTAGACCTAAATTCAGTTTGTCTCCACGAGGTCAGTGAACTAAAGCTTCCAGTGGCCATGGTTGAATTCAGGTTTGTTGATGTGGAAATGAGTTTAGCCACCAGGTGGTGCTGCTTTACAGTGAGAGCTTTCTCTGCTGTAAGGTATTCACGACTGTATTTGTTGCTGTGAATTTTTTTTTGGCAGGGCAGAGCGGGCTTTTGCTGCAGCTGAGCATCATGAATGACGGCCTCCTGTGCTAGAGCTGCATGCTGTGGGAATGATGGACTTCCCCAATGGCCAATCAAGCCTCGCCCCGACTGCTGCCACCGTTTCAGAGGTGAAGCCGCTTCTCAGCAACACATCCTTCCCTATCCATCAATTTCCCCGAGACATTTTTGGTTAGTTCTCGATTTCCAACAACATGGAAAGAAACTACCCTATGAATAAAAACCCTATGAATAATTTATTTCACCTTCGGCATGACCAGAAATGATCACAGTTATTAGTATTATAATGTTGTGATAAGAAATGAGGGGGGGGAAAGTTCACTCTCATGCATACAAGAGCCCACAAAATGCCGTTTAAAGATGACAGTCATACATTTATAGTTAATAGTGGTGAGACCTTATTAAAACATTACCCCTCACAATTAATGAGCGCAGTGGTTGCCATTTTTTTACGTGTTTCCGAGACTTTTTCTCATACCATGATTACCCCCACGCCCTCACTCTTCCAGTGTTGATGATTCTACAAAAGTAGAAAACAACTGATGATTACATTAAGAAATATTTTATTTTCTGTTTTACTGCCTTTTTATCGGCCAGCTGAGCTTTAATGCGACACTTGTTGACATGCAGCTGTTGTGATTTTGGCGCATCTGTGCCACCGTTATTGAGCTGAGAAATAAAAAAAAAAGAAAAATCTGAATGTATCCACGTACCCCCTGCAATGTGCTCACGTACCCCAAAGGGTATGTGCATCCCTAGTTGGCAAACACTGAATGAGAGGCTTGTTTCCAGCATGCTTGTATCAGTTGCTTTCATTGTGATGAAACTACGTGCATATGTGTGTTCCAGAGGAGCAGCAGCTCAGAGTCTCTCAGTGACAAGGGCTCCTCCGAGCTGAAGAAGAGCTTTGACGCAGTTGTCTTTGACGTGCTGAAGGTCACACCGGAAGAATATGCCGTAAGTCTGTTTGTTTCGAGCTGTCCTTGACCAACTAACTTTTAAGGGTTTTTTTTTTTTTTTTTGAAGCGTAAGCACAAACCTAAAGTGCTGAGCTAATGTGAAACGATGGCCAGTGTCAGGTTGAGAACTTTATTATTTTATTTATCGACTCGAGTGAATTTACTGTAGAGGTTTTGAACACATCTCAATTTTTAAGGCTGGATTTGAAAGTATTGACAGTGGAGTTGGTTACGTGAAGTTCAGGAATGTTCTCAAACGTCTTGTTTCATGTTCCCTTATCGTTAACGCGGCCATATGGGACGTGCGTCACTTGAAATGTACATGAAAATCAAATGAATGGCATTAAATTGGGCTTGGATGATGAGACGTGCAAGCGTAAAATCCATCTTTGACACCAGTGACCTTGCTAAAGGAGTGCCGCAATGTGAGAGCATGCGTTTGGCCTCATTTCCGACCACAAGAGGGCACTCTGGGGCTTCTCGTCCTGATCTTTATGGTATGAAAAGCAGCGGCTGTTTTTGTGATAAATGTTCTAACATTTGTTTAAATGCTCTCCTCCAGGGCCAGATTACACTCATGGATGATCCTGTTTTCAAAGCCATCCAGCCCGAGGTGAGACAGTTTATGAATACACACAAAGACAGCCATCATAATAGAAATGGAATGAGTTTTACACAATAACCCACTTGTACGCCGTGAATAAAAGCGCATAACGGCTTCATGGCAAGCCTGGACAAGATTAGAGAAGTGCTAGATAGAGGTGAACTTGTATAATTTGAAATTTACCTAATAGTATTAGTAGCACGCAGCTGTCAACTAGTGCACAGTTTTGCCTCACTAGTAACATAAAGTTGTCCTACTAATATGCTTAATTTGTCCTACTAGTGAGGACAAAGAGCATAACTAGTATACAGACGTTAAGAGGACATCAAGGATATTGAATAGCACTTATTCATGGTAACAAAATCAGCAGTCGGAAACATGAACCAGAGTTTTGTAAGTGGTCATTCTTGACTCTTTTGAAGGACGCAGGAGCCCTTTTATTAAGCCACCTCGGAACGGTTTTAAATGTGAAAAGAAAGTGCCATAACATGTCTTCTTTAAATCGACCCACTTTGGGTGAGGATTACAAGTCCACGCTTATTGTGTCAGAATGGGAAAGTGAGAGCCCGCCTGTTACGGAGATGAAAGCTGCTGGAGGAGAATGGGGGAGGGGGGTAAACTTGATTGAAAGTCTTATTTTCCACTTCCTTGTGCTCCTCGTGGCCATATAATGCAAAAACCAGGCGTGTGTGTGTGTGTGTGTGCCTGCCTGTCATCTCAACTGTGTTCCCTGGCCGAGTAAGAATGTACTGTATTGAATAACTGGTTGTGTAATATTCTTTGAACTTGGCACCTGCTAAGTTTTGTACCAGACAGCTTTCCCACGTAACACGTAAGTGAATTCGTTTGTTCTGTTCCATGCCATTTTGACATTCTAAACTGTCAAAAGTGAGAAGAGGAGGTCAATATTTTATAAAAAACTAAATAAAGTAAGACTAATCACACTTGGGAAAGAAAGAGTGGGAACCAGTAGGTGTTTGCAGAGTGATGCTTGTCGCATGAGCAAGTGTATTTTAATAGCACGATCGCCTTTTTTTTCTCCAGTGTATTGTTTTGGTTCATGTTTCATACTTCTTTGCTAGGGTTTGGTCTTCATTTTGTTGGGTCATTTTATCATGTGGAAAAAAAATTTGCAGTTCAATTAAAAAAAAAATTTAATCGTACCCTAAAGTCCGAATCACACGACCAGCTTGTCTTAAGTTCCTCACCAAGATTTTTATTTGGTTGACTTTTGAGGAATATTTTCTCAGAAAATGTTGGTTTGTCTCCCTAATGTTCCCACTTCCATGGTTCCGTTTTCATGGGCTATCATTCAATTGTGCCATTAGAACGGATCTATCTTATTGTGCGGTGTTGTTTTCTTTTGGATAAAGCTCGCAAAATGGGAACACGGGAAAGAATCCCTTCCGAGACGAGATGAGAGGGTCCCTTTGTTTGGATGTTGTAAATTGAATTTCACGCATCGAGGTGCTCCCACCAGTCCGTATTTGCTCTTCACATGATATCAGATCAGACCTTTTTATATGATGCACTTGCAAAATCGTCAAAACAAGAGCTCTAGCCTGCCCTCCGCGGGATTAATCCAAAGTGCTCGAGTTTATTAAAGTATTCCGTCATGAAACCTAACCTACGTTTGACCTTACTGCTTTAAGTCAATTTGATTCAATGAGAAGCATGGTGGTCTCGTGGTTAGCACGTCTGCCTCCCGGCAGCAATGGAATTTTCATCGGATGAATGCTTCAAATGTCTCTAAAATCCTCAATAAATTTACACACACACACACACACACACACACACACACACAAAAACTGTTGATAGCACATGACTGTGTACCACCAAAATAGATGCTGTCGTAATTTAAGGCTTCTATTCTGATTGTTTTTTGGCAGATTTTTGATTTTTTATTTTTTTTTTCATTTAGGGCGAATACTGCCCACCCATCAATTTTTTTTTCCGTCATACCTCAGTTTTTATTCATGCACGTTGCACATTCTCTTTTCTTTCAGAATGTCCAACGTTGCAGGTTTTACCACTCCAGAGACCCAACTATTTGTGTACAAGCCATTAAAAAGGTCTTTTGGGGCCTATTTGTCAGTTTTCTATACCAGGAAGCTTGCCTGCCGACGTTCTTTGCAACATCTTTCCCTTTCACACATTTGAAAGTTATTCATCTCAAGCTGGGAGTCGATGAAATATTAAGTGACAGAGAACGCTTGCCTCTAAGTCACTCATGACCACTTCAGCCAAGTGAGTTATGTGGTGTGTCTGCCAAGCATCACTTCTTCAAGTCTTCAGGAAGCACGGCTATCGCGTTGCATTTTATGCCCCCGGCGGATGTCAGTATGTGCGCCTTTCTTGCTCATCCGCACAGTGGAAATCTCGTGGACGTGTCCGGATTGTAGATTGAAAGTTGTTTCTCGAGCATGACCTCCTGTCGCCTTAACGGCTTCCAGTGCTGCCAGTGAGATGCAAAGTGAAACCGAGTCTCGTGTCATTTACACTGTAAGAGACGTGGACAGGATCTAAGGGTGCAATTCGGCACGGCGTCATTGCCGTCAGCTAGAATACGCGTCACAAAAAGTGTTCAAGCTCAACTTGCGAATGTCACATGACCCAACTCACAAACAGGTGAGCCATGCTTGCTCGTTACCTGAGCCCTGAGCATCTGTGATGTCATTTTCAGTCGACAGCAGGTAGCAAAATGGCCTATCCCTGAGATGGATAAAAACATTTTTTTTTTTCTTGTTCATTCATATTTCACAAACGCAGTATTAATCATAATGCCGTGTTTGGATTAGTGGGGGGCGCATGGGACATATTATTGTAAAGAAAAGACTCGACGTCCACTTTAATACAAGTTAAGAAAAGTTATTTAAAACATTCAGTAAATTCAAACAAATATCCGTGTCATTGCCGTTTATACAGACCAGTGACCCCTTTAAAATAACACTTTTACAGGCCAGTGTAAAAGGATCTATGGCGGTATCAGGAGTCAGATGAGCTGACACGGCACTCTGGCTGGGAATCACTGCGCTGGACTGACTGTGGCAAAGGTTGCACTGCAGTGCCGTGATAACATGCTCTGTGAAATTTTACTGCTCTTGACAAACGATCAGTCTCGTGGTCGGTGGGAGGGAAAAAAAACGCACCTGGTAAAGTCGTCTCCTCCGATGGTGCGCGCAGGAAAAGGTTCTAATGTTGGCTTGGACATAGAGCAGATCCTAGCTGGAGTCTACACTTTGGAGGCAGCGGTGCGTTATACGTTTGCCCTCATCCCTATCGTAATTCTCTCTCCCCCTTGTTGTTGTTTCTTATCAAAACAAGAAGGGAACAAGTACGTCTGTTGACTCGCGGCACTAAACTTGGCAACGTCCCGCAATCAGTCAAAGGTTGTGCTCGGTCTCACCGCAAGCTGCTGTTCACATAATCAACAATCCCTGTTTTCCTTCCTGTTCGAGCGAATCCCCCTCCTATCTCTGGTCTCTCGCCGCAAGCACGCTTGTTCAATCAATTTTTCCATCGTGCCTCGGCTCTTGCTCCGGCACGCCGCGGGTTCTCAGGTCTCACAGGGTACCCGACGCTGCAGGTTTCCGTTTACAATGTAGACAATGGGAAAAGGACCGCTGCGGTATCACTAATGAGGTCATTCGCATCTGTGGTTCTGCTGCAGCTGCTGATCTTATTCGGCACCGTCTGGCTGTTTATATGATACTTGTCGTGACGTGCTTTTAAATCCTTCTGGGACCGAAGTGTGTCTAAAACGAGTTGCCGCTAGTTGTTCTCGGTAGCCCTCGTTTGGCTCTTAATTGACCCAATTTTATTTACTTGTACTTGTCCAGCTGTGTTGCCATCGGCAGCGCGTAGGGATGTTCCGATGTCTGTGGCTTGACTCTTCAGTCTTTTTACCGCAGCGTTCGTGAATCGAACAGAGACCACAGTGGAGCATCCACATTCAAACACATATTTTCATGATATCCTATAAAGTTTATATTTGCGATATACTGAATCCTCGCTGTTCGCTGGAGTTAAGGAGCAAGCCCTGACAACGACAGCAAAAACGTAAACTAATGGATACTTCCCTAAGTGCGTATAATTGCCTATATTAATAAATAAACCTTAAACGGCTGACCTCAAAGCACCCGAAAGTAATTTCACACTTATCTAACATTGATAAATGGCTTACAGATGATTTGACTTTGAAGCAATGCACCAGAAGGGCGAGTACGCTAGCTTGTATGTCACTGCTTTGCAAGCAATAAAAATAGCAGTTATGATTGTCCAATTGTTTTTCACTCAGTCGTGCATACGCAGTATCTTTTGAAGTGCATATTGTATGTAATAAGCGCCTCTATCTTTCGTTGCCCCTTTCCCGTACGAACTGTTAACTTCCGCCAGTAGCGATCTTTCCGTGCATCATCAAGTGGGGGGTGCGCCCCACTATTTGAGAAACACTGCGTTAGCTACTCCTCTGCTTACATGGGGCCATAGAAGCATCTTAGGGCATGACAGAAAGAGTACAAAGAAATCTGCTGATTGGGTTATTCACCAAATCATTGTTGTCATTTTCTACATTAAATTTCCCGAGGAAGGTTATTTGCAAATTCGTGGGGTACCTTTGATTACAAGCCATTGCAGTCTACATCTTAACTCACTTTCAAATCAATTTCAGTTTTGTCAAGAGTTGACTCCCGGGTCTGAAAAACTTGAAGTGCCTCCAGGCTTTTTTAGGTATCTTAATCACCCGACAAGTCCACGTGGCCCCGGTATTGCAAGATGAGCATCATTTGCTGAGGTCTACCCGATCGGTGGTCAAGAGATGTCAAGACCATAGAGCGCCTTTTGTTCAGGAATAGTCATGCAACGGTGTGGATCCTGCAGGGAATGATGATTGACGTGGTTTACGGAGGGGAAGCACATTATATTAAATAAACAGTTGACTTCCCTCAGCGAGACGGGCTCCTACTTTCTGGAGCAGCCACATCCTGGTTCCGTGCAGGGCGGTGATGATCCAGCAAGAGCCTCCATATCCTTGTCTGGACCCCACCACCATTTTGAACTCGGTTCTCAACTCACCGTCGTCTGCTTTTACCATTTGACATCGGATCTTACAAATGCTGAGGTTCAAATGTGGTCGAGCTCTGTCTAGTTGCCGTTCCCAGAAGTTGCCATACCAACGGTCACCCGGGGTTATTGTGTGCAGCCCTGATATAGCTGATCGTGTTTTGCTCTAAGTCAAGCCGGCTGATGAGGATTAAGAGGAGCACTCTTTCTCTTTGTTCATGTATGAAAATCCCAGCCCTCTTGTAAAATAAAACGAAATACTCACCCTATTATCACCACAGCTGCTGCTTCTTTTTGGACTCGATTGTGTATTAAGTACTCTATTGTTCCTTCTAAAAGGTCGAAGGAAATCTCTTTTGTTCTTTTTCCACACTGTAAAACATCCAGTGTCTTGAGAAAAGTACTTTGACATGATACGTATTTGCAAACTCGCAAATGATCAATAATTTCAACAGTTTTCACATCCACTTGTATCTTGGGTTGCGTAAGTCTCCGAATTGTTGAAATCTGAAACTTGACATTGAAATTAGCAGGAATTTATGTGCGTACACAGAAATAAACCGCAAATTTACACAATTGAATGCAAGCAGACAATTGTTTGGGGGGGGCGGGGGGCCCTGGCTGTGCCCCCCGGCGCTAGATGTCAATTCCCCTGATTGTTTGCGTGTGTTTTTTCAGGAGCTGTCAAGCTGCGGTTGGAACAAGAAGGAGAAGCACAGCTCCGCTCCCAACGTTGTTGCCTTCACGCGCAGGTTCAACCAGGTGAGCGTCGTTCAGTTAATTCAAAGTTATCTGCATCCAGGCAGATTACACCTCATTTTTCTACCCTTGTCCTCCTTTTGCATCATTTACAGAGCAAATGATCCTTTTTCACCTTTTCTTTCCCCCTGAACCGTACATAATCATCTGGACACCTTATCATCATCCTGCTCATAAATCAGTCTAAATGGTCTTTGTAAAATGTGTACAATAGTTAATCATCGCAATTATGATATAACATCATGTCATAGTCATCTGGAATTTAGTTGTTTTTTTTTTTTTTTTTTTTTTATTCCGTTCACCGAGCTCCCTTAAACCCTCGTTCGGTGCCTACCCAGTGTAAACGGATGAGACTATTATGCAAGAATGCGTTCCCGAGGAAACTCGTCTTTCCTGGCAGATCCCAAACGGTGATTCAAGATGTTGGGAGCTCAAACCCCAGCCAAGGAAAATTAGCTGGTTGGATAATGGGATTGGGCCGCCGGACTCCTGCCGAGCACCTCTAATCCCTCGTCCTTCACTTGTAGTTTTGTTGGCCCCGGTGTGCGCCAGGAGTGGAGCCGAGCCATGCAATTAAACACGAGGCACGGATAATAATTTACAGCCCGTGTTGACGAATGCGCAGTGATCTGACTTGATGCGTTTTGTCACAAACGCTGACGCAGTAATGATCTACATCCTGTAATACCAGATGTAAACGCCAGTGTTCCACAGATTAATGGACATTCAGAGATAGCAGACTGTCACACAAGCCGAACTCCCATCTAATCACATTTGCTGTCTTCCATTGTTGGTTCCAGGTTGTTACAGTCACCTTCAGACCATTAAACGGATTGATCCTGTGTCAAAATCTGCCGGTCTTGATTTATTTGGCAGTTCCCAACCCACTTGCGTGTGGGTTCCAGTTCAATTCGGTAGACCGATTCCACATGCTGCGAACGTGGCAATTAACAGCTCCCTTTTTCCACCGACATGTCAAATCGAGTCAACTTTGCATTCTGCCGAGAGGACAGCAAAGATAGCGCAGGAAGAGCATGTAAATGAGATTTGAACGCCGATCCTCAGTGAGTCAACTTTGCATTCTGCCGAGTGCAGAGTGAGTGCTTTGCCGACAGCAAAGATAGCGCAGGGAGAGCATGTAAATGAGATTTGAACGCCGATCCTCAGAACTATGAGGCAGTTGTGCCAACCGCTAGTGCACCGTGCTGTGAATATGCACTTTTTTTTTTTTTTTGCTACAATTCCTGCGTACCACCTGCATAGACGGAAGGTGGCAGCGGAAAGAGAATGAGACGGGAGTTGCTAGACAAACTTATCGTTCCACAGCTCCTTGCCTCTACCTCGAAAGAAAAACAACCCAAGGCGCTCTTTCCAGCAAACGGAAGGCAAAACCAGCTGTGGGGTCAGATATGTGTGCACGTCCCACACAGCGCACTGGGACTCGTCACACCTGCGCTGCTAAGCTGAGTGAGTCCATCCACTTACACTGTGGAAAAAGAGGACGACGAACAGCAGTACAGAATTTAAATGAGGTGGCATTTGGGGATAAGTCCAGATGGGCTGAGTGTTCTCAGGAACACATGGTGCACGTGGATGCCTCGGCTGACCGCCTCACACTATTGGACCAATTACCGTGCCTTCCTCTGTCTTCTTTCCATTTCTGCTTGATTGAATCAACGACTTGTTTGTATGCGGAACCATCCGCAGACTCATCCTCATCCCTTCTTGGTTTTATGTTTATAAATCACGTCAACCCTTTGGATCTTTCTGCATGTCTTTACTTTTCAATTGTAAAACTGTTTCCAGGTGTCTTAATGAGACCTCTGTGACATGTTTTTGTTTTTCACAATATTCCGTCTTAGGTCACAGTTTGTTGTCTCATGCTTGTCAGCCAGCCCTCCTTCCACCCCATATATTGCTGGGCCAATGATGAGGTTGGCTTTTGTTACTATGACAACTAGGGCACGAGCCTGTGCTTTGGGGCGACATAAGCTTCGCAGGCTGCCTATCATTGCAAAGTGGAGTCGGGAGTGAGAAGAAAAAGCCTTGGCGATGCATACATAAATATCCCCTGCCACTGTTTCATGGGGGATTGGTTGTTTTCTGCATGAAAGTGTTTCAGGGATTGTACTGGCCATCACTGAAAAGTGGCTTTGGAAATTCGCCCAGTCTGGCTGACCATGGGCAGAGAAACGTGTTTTGTTTTGTTTTTCAGCCCAGCAAAGATTTTTCACCATCATTAGCTTGTAGCAATTTCATCAGAAAAAAAATGGAAATATGTTTTTATTTGCAAGTAACCATTCTAAATACGGACTTTTGTAAGGTGCCATAATTTCTGCCATGGGTTTCGCATAAAGTCTGCTTTTGCTCAGCTCTATCGGTCTTTCTTAACATCTCTGCGTGTGTGTGTTTAATCTAGACCAGTTTCTGGGTGGTTCGCGAGATCCTCCACGCGCAGACGCTGAAGATCAGAGCCGAGGTGCTGAGTCTATACATCCGCACCGCCAAGGTACACACATCCCCCCCACCTCTGCATACCACAAACGTAGGTCCTGGCGATTGTTTGCATTGAAAACACATGACCAATGTCTCGTGTCGTTAACGTAGAAATTATGCGAAATGAACAACCTTCACGCCGTCATGGCGGTGGTGTCGGGCCTGCAGAGCGCTCCCATCTTCAGACTCACCAAAACATGGGCGGTGAGTATGTTTATCCCTACTTTGAAGCCAAGCCCGGTTTATTTAGTTGCCAATTGGGGGGCGTCTTAAAAGACAAAAAAAAAAGGACACACGAACAAAAGGCCAATGAAACATAACACATGTGAGAAAACATGATGGATGACAAGGTGTGGGAACGTAAACACATTCTTCAAAAGATTATGTTGAAATACGAATTTTAAAATCTTTTTTTTTTTTTTTTCAATCTAGACTCAACACTGAAATTTTAGGATTTTGTTTTCTGACAGATTATGACATTTTCAAATTTTGGGACAAGGGAGCATTTTTATGTTTATGCATGTATTACTTTGTTTCCGAAAGAGGCATTTATTAACTTAAGGCACTCCAATGGTGCAAATGAATGATGGAATTTTAAGTTGAAGAACTGAAAATCCCCTTCTGCTCACCATGGAGAAGAATTACAATATAATTTAAGAAGTGGAAGCCATCTCCGCTAAATCTAAGGGGGGAAAAAATGAAGAGAATAAGTAATATTTCCATTTTTACGTTATTTTACAACCTCTGTATTATGCAAAGAAACTAGAATTTGAACGCTTAAAAATGATTGGATATAATATAACAAGAATTGACAGTTAAAATCTTTACGCAGTTTAGAAAAAAAATTGTGCGCATTGCAAATTGTCTCCACATGGCTTATGTAACAATCCCACCATCGCATCCTTCCAGTTACTGAGTCGCAAGGACAAGGCCACATTTGACCGGCTCGACTTCCTGATGTCCAAAGAGGACAATTACAAGCGTCTGCGGGACTACATAAGCAGCCAGAGCATGGTGTCGTGTATACCATACCTCGGTAACTCTCACACACTTCACACACACACACACACACACTCTCCTTCCATTTAACCATTAGCCCATAAACATCAACCTGTAAAAACAAGAATGCAGAGGTCTGGAAAGGTTGTCTGCGTGTGTACAAAGAAGTTCCTGTTTAGAGTGGGATGTGAAAAACTCACAAAAATGGGAGTGAAGTGTTGATAACACAAAATTGCATCATCTGCTTTCTCTTCCCGGTGCTGAATATTCCGTTGGCTGGCATTGTTTTAAAACACCGGAGTTCTTGCCAGCTAGAACAAACGGATAAATCAGCGCGAAAATGAGGAATAAATCTTCTTTCCTGTAATATTTACACTCTTTCTTCGCTTTGGTGCCAAGATGACATCATGCACGGTTTCCAGCGAGGAAAATTCATTTGTGTGTCTTAAGGCTTGACTGTGTGTTCTGGTTTTTGTTTGGCAGATTGTCTAGTTCAATCTCGTAGCAACTGAAATTCAGTCATAAATTTTTTTGGGGTGTGTGTGAAGCAAAGCTCAGCTGGCCACAAGATTGAAGAAAGCTCGCCTAGCTTTTCTGCAGAGAAGCCTTCATACTAAAGCGACGCGTGAGGGACTCTCAAGCCGATCTGTCACTAGCCTTGGTAGCCACAGACTGCACCCTTGTCCGCATTTTTCACAGCAACCACTCTGTTCAATGCTCTGATTAACTCATTCATGTTCACACAAGCCAATCACGGGTGCACAAAGAGACCACAGAGACGTGTGGTCCCGCTGTGATGAAACATAGCCTTCTTGAAAATGCTTCTCTGATTTGCTATTTAGCCCCTCCTTGTCTGCAGTAGCACGAATTGCATTGCTCTTTGGAGCGTCTCGCATACTGAAAGCGAATTTACAAGAGCGAGCATTGGTCGATTGTTGCCGTCTGTACTTGTCGCCTCTGGCAATGGGCCCTTTTGGCTACACAGTTGACCTCGGCAATTTTCTGCCTTCATATCACACTCGCTTCTCCCGCCCCGTTGTGTTGATCGCATTTGTCACTGTCTATTGGGTGGCTTGCGCTAACATTAGCAGTCAACCCCACTGCCAGAATTTCTTCAACCTCATTAACATAGCTGCTTCATACCTGTAGCAAACAAGTTAGCATGCCTTGCGCACTATCCTGCTGTTTTCCTCACACCTTACTCAAGCCGATCAGTAAAGGACACAGAAAGCTTTTATAAAATACTTTTAATTGGACACATTGAATGACAACTGGCAGTGTGTCACAGTCTTCTTTTCCTCCATACAAGTATCCCCCCCACCCCCTTTCACTCTGGCGTTGTATGCCACGTCTTAATTTTGCATTTCCGAAACGGATCTGCAGTGGTTTTAACAGTAAGACTTTTGTGGCAGTGTGCATAAATATTTTCTGTTGCTGTAAATTTAAAAGGAATGAAAATGGTGAGAGAGGATACACATTTGCTTTACTTACAATGAGAATGTTCTGGCATCTATGTACTGCTGCAACGCTATTCATCACAGGCAGTTTTAAAATTGGCTAACACATGACATTACTGGGCAGAATATCAATAGAGAAGACTGCGCTTTCCATAAATACCTACTGATATACTAGGAACAAAAAAAAAAATGCAAGTCGCAAAAGTGGCTTTGTGAACTTTTCGGGCCTGAGTAGAATCACATTTAAGTTAAACTCTCACAAGCAAAGGCCATAGGTATTTACATGCCTGCGCATTTCAGTGCCAGGGATCCCTAAAAATGTAGCGTGGCACTCAAATTAATAACAAAGTTTATTCTTTAGCCTTCCATATGAACATAATTACTTCCGATGTTGACAGTAAGCTGCTCCTGAGAGCTATCTTCTTAAGTACAAAAAAAAAACGTAAGCTGCTCCTGAGAGCTATCTTCTTAAGTACCGTACCAAAAAAAAAAACAGAAAAAGAAAGACCATTCCGTCTTTCCCCAAGAAGTCAACTGTGTCACATGGGAGTAATATTGATTGTCCCAGGAGCCAAAGGCTGGATTCATGCTGCATGGCTCAACTGAAACAATTTGGATTTTTTTTCCGACTTGGCCTTCAGGAACAGTTTCTATTCTTTTCGGCATTTGAGCTGCTTGGAGTCCATCAGTCCTTGCAAAAACATATGCCGTCGTTTATTCCTCCTCCTCTTCTCAAATGTCTTTTATCCTCGTACTTGTACAGTGTCTATTCAGGGATGCATTTTTTATTTGTGGAAAATAAAGCAGGAGCCACTGTGGCGAGGATCTAGTCAATGGGTCGGATCATCAGGCACACGGACTTGAGTGAGTAGAACCCCCCTCCGTATTCGGCCCAGAAGATCCCGTCTTGAAATTTGCTGCGGTAAACTCCGCCGCTGTACCACACGCCGTTCAGGTTGGTCTGGCCACATGCGTTGTACCACCAGCCGCCCTTGTGGAAGTGGGCGCAGTTCCCTTGAGGACAAACACAACGGTAGCAATGAAGAGCAAGTGAAGCTGATAGATCAATGGATAGTACAAATACTTCATTATTGATAGTATAGGTACTTGAAAAATCACAATAACAAGTATCTGTTGTGACTAGACCGCAGTTGAAATCGTGTAAATGATCGAATGAAATGGCGGGGATGTGAATCGTGGACCAGTCATGACGATGATGCAAATAGATTCTGCGAAACAAAATATTCATCATCTTTAGTCTTATTTACAATGAGAGAATTGTTTGATGTCGTCTGCTCCAAGAATGATTTATTGCCAACGAGTTGTCTTTTCCCAGCATAAAACCACCAGATTCTGGTGGTCAAAATGTCATTATATATTTTCAGGGGACTGTATGAGCAAAATTTCCCATTGTTTTGTGAATTGTTTCACAGTAAAAGAAAAGACAGGGAAATATGTTGAAGAAAAACCTGAGCCAAAAATATCTTATTTTTCTTCTCAGTACAAACGAAATATAAGTTAAGAAGAGGAAATCTAATTTGTATGGACTTTAACCACAGCATATAACCCCTGTACATTATTGACAGTATTTTAAAAAAAACTTTTTTTAAAATACTCTTTTGTATTCCATTCAGAGTCCATACTTTTTTATCTTTTTTTCTCTCTTTTGTATTCCATTCAGAGTCCATACTTTTTTACTTAAAGGACCCGAATCTGTGACGCTGGGCAAAATTGCATTTCAGCATTTGCATTTGACTTCTTGCGCCATATTGTGGCATCCATTACACTTGGATTTTTGTTATTCGCAGCAGGTTTCAGCCTTCTCCGTTGTGCACTTGACTGCCTTTGTAGTTTTGTACTTGCATTAGTCTGTGTATCTGCACTTCTACTAGCCTGAGTATGTTTTCCACCTCTGACAGTCACGTACCTGAGAAGGCATCCTTGTCTCGGTCCAGCGTGGTGAATTGTTTGCCGTTGTGGCTGGTGAAGGAGTCACCGGCGTTGCCCTGGTAGGCGCCCAGCCTCAGGCGGTAGCCCTCGCTCTCGGGCTCCAGGCGGAAGCTGCTGTACTCTGCGTACACCTTCTTGCCGTTCCAGTCCTCCAGTTCCACCATAAGTTTGTAGTCACCCTGCTTGCCCAGGTTGTAAATGTTCTCCAGCCCGAGCCAGTGTTCGCCGTCAATGTTGCCAAAGCCTCTCTGCAAGAGGAAGGGTTTTTCCATTTGTAGTAGAGCTAGGTGACTATTAATTCAAGTTTATTGCTCAAGACATTTTTTTTTTTGGTGAAAAAGCAACTTTTTGGCTTTTCTGATTCCTCTGGTGTCCATTTTTCCAAAAAAGCGACTGGCGACTTGCTAGCAGGAGGGACTCAAAACAAAACAAAACAGTACTTGTCTTGAATTATGTCAGTCATTTCCTTTCTCTTCAAGTGAAGGGGAAAATGAGTCAACAATTTTTGAGTGAAAGCCCCTATCGCTTCGTCGTAGGTGTTGTTTACCAGTTGATAATTTGACATATGGAGATGTTAATGTAATAAAGCTGCAGTTCGTCTGTCGGGATTCGACAATTGCTCAACTTCAGTAAATTCACAGCTGCTAAGATTCCTTTCTTGCTACACTGCCAGACAGCGGTATTGATTTCTAAATGTACCTTTGTATGATGCGACAGAATCAGAAAACTCCCTTGACAGTCCTTTCCTGGAAGCTGATGTGTATCACAATGAAGTAGTGAAGCTGGCACTTGGGGGGGAAAAATAAACATGCTGCATTTCCATCTCGGGGTCTCAGTCTACCGGCACATTGCTAATTCTGTATATTTGTGTTACGGTCCCTGGCCGCGACTGCACTTTGTTTGAAAATATGCAGCTAAACTGTTTACGGTCACGGAACACGCATTCATTTAGTGGCCCCAAAACGAACCCCCCATCTATCCATTTTCCAAAGAGCTTGTCCTCATTAGGGTCGCGGGTGAGGTGGCGCCAACCCCGGCTGACTTTGGGCAAACGGTGGGGTGCACTCTGGACAGGTCGCCAGTTTTAGTCACAACTCTAAATGAACCCCAAAGACAAAATCCATCTTGCATAGGAGCCATACATAGTAGGGCTGAGAACATACGTATATTTTAGAATATCAAATAAAATGCTGGAGAGGCTTAACTGGGGCTAAACACAAACTTTTTGCGACTGTAACTTGGGACTTGCTTGAAACCTAAAGGTTCAAACCTCAGACTTGCACATGACTTGCACATATGTCAGTTACTCCACCTCTGGAACATACCTTGTAGTTCTCCCAGTTGCGAAAGAAATTAACAGAGCCGTCCCGCCTCCTCTGCAACACGGTCCAGCCGCCGTTGTCGAGGCCGTGCTCGCACCAAACTTGGATCAGCCGCTCGCTGCCATCAGTCTTCAGCAGGTACATCCCGCTGGTAGTGTGACCGGCTTTCCGCACCTGGAAACAGTCCTTGAATGGACCTGAAGTTTAACAAAAAAACATTTTTGGAATAAAATATCAAGTCACTATTATCTGCCCCCCCCCCCAAACCCCTGAATAAAAATAAAAAATGAAATATGCAATAAAGTTTGAATCATGACAAAAATAATACAGAATAATATGGACATGAAACTCAATACAAAATAATATAAACAGAAATAATATAATGAACATATAAATTCAAAATGATGTAATCCTATTCAAATGAATGATAGTGAATAAATAAAATGTGAGATCTTAAAAAAAAATAAATACCAAATCTAAAATAAACTCAAATACAAAATAATCGACAATCAACTCAATGTGAAAATAAATAAAATGCTAAATGTAAAAATAACTTAACATATAAATAATCACAATCTAAAATAAGATAATCTACAAATAAATGAAACGCAAATCTCAAAATAAATGCAACTAGATACAAATACAATATAATAAAAATAGAGGGATACTAAAATAAATATACACTATAATAATAATGTTATAACGTATTTAAATAATATATAATACCATCAAAAAGTACTTGAGCAGTAATGTTTGCCAAATACTAAATAAAATAAACCAAGACAAAAATGGCAAAGAAATCGGTGGAAAAAGTGTCCGTGTCTGGAGGGAGGTGCAAAACATCTCCTTTCAACCGCAACCCTGCAAACATCCTGTCATCCAAAGCCATCCAAACACACTTTTGATTGTTGTGTGGATGAATATTCACAAGCGCATTGGCCCTAAAGCCGAAGCAGCTGAATCATCCCGCCGCGTTTCCTCCCGTTTACCCTTGTGTGAGTGTTAATAAACCAGCATGGGTGTTGCGTGAGGGGCCTTGGGGGCCGAAGACTACGGAAGACGGCTTTTCTCAGTTGTGTGGGATCACCATGGGGCCCGGCGTCAACCCATAAAGCCACAGTGTTTCAACAAGGGACTTCAGTAGCCCAAACTGTGCTCTGCTAATGTGTATTGATTGTAATGGTGAGCGTACATATACCAGATTCTATTAGTGGTCAGTTTCATGGTTCCAGTTAGCATCCAGTGGAAGAGTTGGTTGTTTTCATTTCGTGCCATATGTACTGTTTTTCCACTTTCTTATTTTATCTTTTTGTGTGATAGACGGTGGCGCATTCTGACTTACGTTATGTAATGTTGAATTTGGATGCTTCGCTTGTCTGCACATCCTTTTTTTTTTTTTTTTTTGTTATTATGCACCAATACACGTGTCGACTGGCTGCTCGAACTCTAGTCAGGATTTGTTGGGCTAGGTTTAGTTCCTTCTTGTTGTTGAACCAAAATCTGCAGTACATATGCTCTCTGAGAAGCGGCCAATAGCATACCGGATGATTTCACTGTCTCACTTAGTTGCCAAGAATGCATTAAATATGTATTTGTCTGCACGGTTGAAGAATATTCTAGATGGTAGTCTGTAAAAAGTCACTAAAGCGAACAAGGGAGAAGCATAATCGAGATGTGCTTGATCAAACTACAGGTTAAGTTGATATTGAATGAATCAATCAATACCCTCCAGATCTCTCGGAATGTTCTGAATGCCATTTTCATGCCAAAGGCAGAGGTCTCATGCCAAGGCCACACGCAACCGAGCGACACCTTGAGAAAATTGATCTTGATGTGTTGGTATAGATTTGGGGCACGGCTACCCACCATCAGAAGTGAGCGTTCCCTGTGGCGGCGGAGGTTCAATTCCAAAGGGGCTCGGAGTTGGCGAGTTTGTGCGCGATCCTCGCGAAAACGCCCTGTTGTTGTGGTCCCGCTGTATTTCGTTGGTGAAGCGGTTGTTGACCGGTATGGTCTGCGGCACCACCTGAACCAGCGGCGGCATGGCAGGCAGATCGCTGCGCCCCACGGGCCTCAGGCATTGTTCTTCCAAGGCTGAGATGAGAACGGACTGGTTGTTGACCACCCCGGCCATGGTGGCGAAGCGGGCCTCCAGCTCCCTGTACCTGGAGTTGAGTCGTATCATCTCGGAGGTCACGTTGAGGACGCGGTTCTCCAGCTGGGCCAGCTCCAGGGAGTTGTCCCGTTTCCTGATGATCTCATGCAGCAGCTGCATGTAAAGCTGGGTCACCCTGGAGTTCATGTTCCTGCTCTCTTTCCTCAGCAGTTTCATCTCGTTCACCAGGTTGCCGTCCACGTCCACCACCAGCTGCAGCGTGTCGATCTCGCGCCGCTGTTTGCTCAGCACCTCCCGCACGTCTGCGAGGTCCATGCGGGTCACTGCGTCCTTGTTTGGCTCGGGGCCTGTGGAGCTGGCACAGATTGGACCTGATAACACACGACGTATGCAGGCAGTGAGAAGTCGAGAACAGCTAAAGATCTGTTCACCGTGACGTCACATGTACTTCTAGTTGGCAACAGCTCAGATGGCACCACGAGTAAAAAATATTTTATTGAAAAAAGGCAGTGTGTGAATGAGGAAAAATGGGGCAAATTGCTTTTTTAGCTGAATTCTCTTGTCCCGTTGTTTGAATGTGTGATGCGTCAGTCGAAAAGATGATGCTCATGAGATAGATTACTTGGAAGGGAGAAACTTCAGACGTAGTTGACATTGTCGCTTAGGGCCTGGCTAAATAACTGATGTTTCTGATGGTAGGATGGTCACAGACAGGCTGTTTTGACGGTAAAATGGATATTAAAGAGCTGATGTAAGTTAGCAGGCTGGATATCGATTTACTAAATTACTCAAGACAACTCAACCACACATTTGATGCCTATCTATGCCTTCCACAAATCCAATGATGGAGGTTTTATTTTCAGTCTGTCCCGTTTCCGAGGCAGCCCTACAACTGTTTACGATATCCACTCAATTTAGCGTCCTTATCCACGTTTCACTTGATTAATCTAGATGTTTTTTTATTTTTATTTTTTTAAGTAAATTGGGTTTTCACACCAGCACTCTGACTAATGCTGTTCTTTCTAGCCTTTGCACGTGAACTGTAGACGTCAGCTTGGATGAGACACGAAACATCTTCTAAGACAACCAGAGCACAAAGTTCCGATCTCTTCAATGCCCTTATAACAAACCAATCCCGTTAAATGGAAAATAATCACAGGCATGTTTGAGGAACAAGCAAAAAAGTAATAAGAGTTCAAACCTGTAATTTTCTGCTCAGGCACTAGGAAGGTGTAGGAGCACTTTTTGCCATCGGGATCTACGAGGGCTCTTTTACTCCTGTGAAGAGACGCCTCTTTTGTCCTCCGGGTTTCCTTGGAGTTCCCACAGGAACTTCCTCCCCACAGGGAGAGGCAGAGTAGAGCGCACAGGCTCCACATCAGCCCCTGCATTGCGTTATGGTGGATTGATGGACAGTGACTTGTGCTCCCCCTCCTCCAAGGCCCCCCGGGCCCGCCTGCATGAAGACAAAACCTTGAAAGTCTAGAATTTCTCCAACCGGGGTCCGTGAGTCGTGACTCTGGGGTCAGCAAAATCATTTGCAATAAAATGCACATACAGCAACTTCATACATTGGGACTTGTCAGTGGCAGGACAAAAAAAAACACTACAACAAATGCGATAATCCAATTATTCTTCCCTACCTTAGCTTTGGGCCAACCAAAAACTGGGATAACCTCCAGCTCACCCACAACATGATAGTGAAGTTAAGCAGTCCAAAAAAAAAGAAAATTATAGGAAATACTTCTTTTTTTCCCAATTACCGGCCTCTCTCTTATTTTTTCATTTATTAATTTTTTTATTACTATTTGTTTTTGAATAAAGGTGTCTTTTGATTATTAAAAAAACATATTGGGAGAATCAAGCTGCATTTTTTAAAAAATTCATCTTAAAAGTTAAGCGCTTTTCGGTGAATGGTTGTTTGAAGAAGTGTGTCAGCAGCTTTCAGTTTTGTTTGCATGGAAAGACCCGAAAGAACACTTTTGGATGGTCTTCTAGCAGGTCTGTTTTTTGTCTGTCGGTTCCCCCGCTCTCAGACACGCTGTTTATCTGAGGGCCTGCAGGTTACGAACCAAATGTGTGGCGGCTGACGACCGAGCTTTGTCTTTGCTACCAATTCTCGCACTTTGCTTTCTTTACAAACTTTGTGGGCCTTAGCGTGAGGATTTTTTTGGTTTTGTTTTGTTTTTGGTCAAAGCACATATTTTACATCATAAAAATCTCATTGCATCTCACCAACTTAACCACCAAATGAAAATATCTAGAAAGATTATTGCATCTATATGGCTAAAAACTGCAGTTTAGCCAGAGGTTGAGCCAAAGGTTAACGGTACCTTCTGCCTTGCAGTGGATGAGCATTTAATTGTCATAATACGTCACTAACACATTGACAAACCAGATACATTATTTACAATGAATAAACCATCATTTTTAGGACAGATTAATTGGTTGAGAAAGCGCTATTATAGTGGAATGCAAAACAAATAACTTTGACAGCAGAAATGTTGGCACAATCTTGAATTCCCAGGCCGATTCTTGGCTATGCAGCTCTTTGTTTAAAAAAAACCCCAAACAATTAAAAAAAACTGTTCAAAAGTAAAAACTGAGGAAACAGTTGCGACCTAACATGACTCACTCACAGCTCAAAGCGAGTGAAAGACCTTCAATGAAGCAGCAAGTGCTCACAGAGGAGGTGCAAAAGAGCCGGCCAGGAGCTGAATGGGCAGACGTGCCGTCCTGGTCTCATGCTTTTCAAAAAAGTGGGGAGACGTGACAGTCACGCATCATGTCGTAGCCCATGGCTGGATTTACGTTCGTGCCCAAATTATTTACGATGGTGTGTATTCCAATGATGCGACTTGAAAGCAAAAAATGGGAATCATGTCACTTGAACCCTGCCTTGTAAATCCACTTGATTGAGTCAGAAGACCTTAAGTCTCTCCGCAAAGACACCAATTAGCCTTCATCCTCATCTAGTGTTAATTCTATTCCTGTTTTCCATCAACCGACTGGCACGGAAACGATGACGCCACCCCCACTTAGCTCCCTGGCCTTGGTCGTGCCTTCTTCGAATGCGGCTACATCGCTCCTGACAGTCAGTCCTGACTCATGGCGAAGACCACGAAATCCACTCCCTTCTGTGTCTCCCCTTATGACGCCATTGTGGTTCTTGAGGGATTCTGACAGCGCCCCCGGCCCCTCTCCCGCTTACCACCACCACCACCACCACCACCCACGTTTCTTGGAGCTGCTCTATGAAAAGGACTCGGTAACAGCGACTGGTTGCGTGGATGCGAGTATCCAGATCAGTTGCTCGTCTTTCCAGAGGCTAGTCGACAGCAAAGAGATGGCAGACCGTAACTACTTAGGCAGCAGCCTTACAATAAACCGACGACACTATTTGCAGAGGATAGGGACAGATTGATTGACAACCCCTAAAATGGTGCTAATTGCCTTAATAGTGTAAACCATAACCATACCGCTACACTAACCTGAACCCGAAACGTTTTGATTTCATTTCATTTAAATATAGCTTCCAAAAGTCAGAATTAGGAGGAAATGGATCATCATGCGTTCTTAAGGGGAGTTATTGCCTTCGAGTCTCTACTTTAGCAGGTAAAATACATCCGCTGTAGGCTTTAAGTTTAGAAATATACTTAGCCAGTTTAAAACATTTAATTTTTTTCCCTAGATGAACTCAGGGGTTCCTCAAGTTTGCGGCCGAGTTCAGTTTGCACAGCTTTGACGTAACTAGAATTTGTGAGAATGAGCGTTAGTCTATAACTATTGCACTCACACAGTAGAAATGTCATAATTTCAGTAGTTATAAATACATAAGACAACGTGTTAAGATGCATGCGTTCGGACCCTTGAGGGAACCAGAGTACCTGGATTGGTGGTTTGGTTTTAAAAAATATATATTTTCTCCTTATGGTACTCTATTCGTATTTGGACTCGTTTTTGCGGGCCGTTTCCTCTCACATAATCATACTTTCTGCCCTCTTCCCACTCTTCCTCTTTGCGGTTGTCGCTAAATCGCTTCAACTGAAAGCGATTTGGCACACGGAAGGAAACTTGATGCCAATTTCTCTCCCCGAATAGCAATAGGATTAATTTTCATCTCCCGCCTTGTTCGTCACTCTCGACGAATGCACATGTTCAATAACATAGCTGTGAAAGCAGCAAAAATCAGCGTGCAACAAAAGGAGCCGCCGCGGGGCTCCGAACCCGCCCGCCTAACAGTATATTTTGGCAACAGGGCCAGCCACATAAGTCTTTCGAAGTGCACAGCCAGGTCCTCAACCTTCTAACATTTATTAACAGGCGTCTCTTCCCAGCTCGCTATTTCTGCACTGCGCTTTAATTCGGCTACCTTGCTGTTTTTGGCGCTGCCATGAAAGGCACAACTGTAGTTTGTATGTCAGCTACTTGCTTTGTACTTTGGATCACAGGTTCTTTGGGCCTATGGGGATTTTCAATCATTTTCAGTTTAATATGGGTGGGCTAACTTTTTTCTTTTTTTTCTGTTGAATTTTTTTTGTCAGACAAAGGGCCAGGTCATTTGGCTAAAATAAAACTAAATTGACTGTATGAAATTAAGTTCAGTTTTGGTTCGCTCAGAGAATTTAATGATTTCCTTTAAAACTACCCATGATTTAACACGACGCTATGCTTACCAAGTGGAATCTATAAATTACTTTTTAAATGTACCGTATATCTGTAGCTTCAGATCTTTTGTCAAAGACCTTTGTCAAGGGGGAAAAGCATTTTTAAAAAGACCAGTTTGCGGAAGCACCAAGAGGGAACTCCTTTAATCAATTTGACATGATGAAAAATAGCATTATTGGCTTTGGCAGAGGTGTGCGCTGTACAATGAGCCTTCTTAGATGCTGAGATTTATGGACCCATTTTAAGGTTTTTCATTCTACTTGTTCACAATGAAACCAACTCAGACAGCATATACAGGAGCTGAGGTTTTTTTCCCCCCCCTAGCATCTGTCCTTTCATAATTAGAGTTAGGGAGCATCTTATTGGACTACCTGAAGGTTTATGTTGTTTCACTACCCCACGTGTACAATACGCATATCGGTACAAAATATAAACACTTCCATGTGTTGTTGGTTGCCGCACAGCTGAAGAGAATATATTTAGGTTATAGCTTGGGAAATAATAGTCTACGTATGTTTGGGGCTGGGGGGAAGAAACAAAATTGCTTACACTACTATAAGACGAAACCTCTTTCTCCTATTTGGTTTGCATTATAACCAATTTATTTTAGCGGTTGGGGTGATGGATGGATGAATGGGACAAAAAAAATAAAAATAATAATTGGAAAGCAAATGTCAAAACACTGACCTGTCCAATTCAAAGTAAGACCAAGGTAAAACCAATGTACAAAAGTTCCTACCAGAAATGGTGTGCAAACCTGTGGACAGTCGTGATTTACGCGATCCAATCTCTTTGACATTTTTATGCTTCAGATTTGGGCAAATACCCTGGTTGGTCATTACGAGCCCTGGAATTCACACTCAAAATGACTGCTTGAAACCAAAATGGCAGTTTGCTGTACAGTATTGGCCATGGTTCCTTGTATTTTTTCACGCTGATAAAATATGTCTTATGCTCGTCTACATTCAATTACAACCCCATTTGGAAAATTTCTTAGTTGGGAGTTCGTCACTGGTGATGCTACATTGCAAGACTTTAGACTCACTCATTATGTTTTATGGACATGAGAGGTCTTTTTTTCAAGTCCTGATGCATTTTCCACCCATCAGGCTTTGTGGATTGTTCCATGCACCACTCCTCACAGCCTGCAGTGATTTACCAAAGCTGAAAATGTATATATATTTTTATAGCCCATATACAGTATTTGCCAGTTGGAAAAAAAGAAATCCCCCATCTGGATTTTTGACTCTCCTAGTTGCCCAAAAAGTTGCTAAAATCCACAACAAATGAGCAATTTTAGAGACAGAAAAGTCATCCCTTCACACAAGGACTCCGTGTCAAGCTGTGGTCCAAGCTTTTGATTACATCATGTCACCAGCCACTGTTTGTGTGTAGTACAAGCAAACTCCCTCCCTCTATTTGTTGCCACAGATGTTACAGCGCTAACTTCCAGATAGTTTTGGAGTTGGAGAAAAAAAAGTGTCAGGAAGCAGACACTAAACGTGAGCACAAAATGCTGGCCGACCTTTGCAGACCCCAGAAATGCAGGCCACTAAAATAAAAAATACTTCTCAAGAAATTAGCCATCGTCACCAGCGTAAGGATGGAAAATGCTTTTGTGTTGCCTTATGAGCCAGCAGTGTTTTATGTCTTGCTGTTAAACACCACATGTGGGACGTATTTAAAAAAAATGGAGCCACGAAGGGTTTTCTCCACAAAAAAGGGACTCGAGCCAGCAGTTTTGTCGGAGCCTTCCCTCGAGATTAAAAGGTGAAAGATGGGGGTGGGTTAGAACGGAGGAGTTTTCCCAGATTAAGTGGCTCACTTTGGAGGGAGACGTCTTGCTTGTTCGCTACTTAGCTCGATCTCACCTTGGTAGCACCCCCAAAAGAGGCCCCGCACACCCCCACCACCACAATCTGTTTTCCTGCTACTAGTAGTGAAACCCAAAACATGTTGGTTTGATGGTTAGGTCAGAGGTCTTTACGGCGGATTAGGGTGCGGCCCCCAACCTTCCTCGAGCTAACCTCTTTCTCACCCCCCAACACCCATCTGCTGCTTCAATCAATCGCTCTTTGTGAGCAGATTCTGCCATCCAGTTGGCTTTGTTCGACTTTAGTGGAGAAGAGTGAGTTCATTTCAACAGTAGGCACGAGCCGGGATCAGATTCTGACTGTTCTGATAACCATGATTAAAAAATATTGCGTCTTCAGGATTTTGTCAAAATGTAAAAAAATGTTCAAAAAGTAAATAATACAATAAAAATGTGGTGTGGTGGTCCTCTGTGTTTAGTGAAGTAATGACAAGAGTGGAAACGAACTGACATTAGCCACGCTACTTAGCTAGTTATCTGCCTGCGAGACGATAGAAATCATTTCACCTATATTAGACACATTAACTCTTGTAGCCGGATGGAAAAAACGAGATAGTGTATTCGTAACGTATTAACGTTAACTTGAATTTCTTGAAGCATCTATTGCTGGTGTTCTGGTGAATGTGACATCGTAGTTGGAAGTATTGCCTCCAATACTGAGATCCACTCTTGGTAAGCACGTTCACTTACTAGAGCAGGAGTGTCAACCCCATTTTCTAGCGGGCCACATTTTAGTTACGGTTTCCCTTGGAGGGCCGTTCTGACTGAAACCAGAGAAAAGGCGTCAAGAATAACGGTTTATTCAACTGTTGTGTACGTTACTGTCATGAGAGGTTTGGTCACAAGAAAAAGCTTACAATATCTCTCTTATTTGTTACATAGGAGCCAAATGGTACAAATTTTAGTAAGTATCACGGAAGTTGATTTGCTTTCGCGGGCCACATAAAATGATGTGGCGGGCCAGATCTGGCCCCCAGGCCTTGAGTTTGACACCAGTGTACCGGTACTAGTGTCTGTACTTTTACAAAATACACTGAGGGAGCACTTTTGCCACCTCTGGTTTTCTCTGTAGTGGCTCCATCAATCCTGATTATGGCAAAAGTTGAATGGAGACAAAAGGAGTTCAGTTGCCTCAAGTCAACTTTTTAAGTGAAGAGTTGTTCCGAGCTGCAGGCCCTCTCAGTCAAGTCCTGTCACATTCTGTCCAGAAAAGGACCCTCCAATCTCCCAACACCCTCCTCCACACACACGACCTCCTGTGTGCTTGCCTTAAACACACACGGGCATTGTATCAAAAGCTGTTAAATAGTGGAAATTCCCTCTGTAGGAGCCCCTTGTGGTGGGTCTTCCCCCCTCGCCTCCTGATGTAACATTGTGAGTGACGCTGGGAAGGTGAGGCTCGAGCTGCCCGGGGATCCAGGGTTGAGTGGAGATCCGGGAAGGAAATTAAAGCCCTTAATTGTAAGGATTCGCTTCTGGTATTGTTTCTCCTCACCGCATAGTCCACCTCAGAGTGAGTGGTAATGCTAGTGTTGAGTTGAACGTTTCCATGACTACCACTCACATACTTTGTTAGATTCCTCTTCCTAATCCCGTGATGACCTGTCCTGTCAACTGTGTTCAGGCTTCTCATTACCAGCGAGAAGCTATGAACAAGACGGGAATTAGACTCTAGGTCCAATGGCGGACAAGTCTCTGTCAGCCAATCGGTGAACAGCGCTCCATCCTCCATTTATGCCTAGCATTACTACCGGCTACCTGACAGGGATTATTGTACTTTTCTTAAATGGAAATGCAATAACATGCAACTCGATCAAACCAAAGGTTCCTGCCTGCGGCCTGGTCAAACTTTGAATCATTCGCTCGGTGCTGCCTGGGCGACCTTTCAATCTCGCACCGATTTTGCTAACTGATGCTGAGAGCCAGTCGTACCCTTGCCGTGGGTCATTTGCGGTTAGCGTAGCAAAGCATGCAGTGACCCGCAGTTTCAGGTGAGGACTGGAATGTCCTGGATGTTCATCAAGCATCTGTTCTGTCTTTTTAAATCCGCGTCTTCTCTTACCCTCTCAATTTCCAGACTTACTGGAGCGAAATATGAGGATTTACTTTGGCCTTTCAAAACGCAAGGTCTTTCTCCCTCTTAAGAGTTTTACTCCCCCAGTTTTGCATATTCGAAATGCCTTTCCCCTCACTGTCACGGTAGTTGGCAACAATCAATGATGTCCTTTTGAGTGGAATGTTTTCCACCATGAAAGCGACACCATCATTCGCTATTGGCCTTGGCCCTTCATTCATTTTGCCGTAATGTTATTGATTTTACCTGGAATACAATCAGACTGTCTCAAGTGGTTCTGTGCCTTTAAGGAAAAAAAAAATCTTCCAATCTCCCCCATCTGATGGGGTCAACCTTCCTCAAGTGTTTTGGCAGGAATGTTGCTTCCTTCCTCTTGTGATTTCGCTCTCTCTGTTGCTGCCCGACAGTCACATATTAAAATGGCACTTTGTGTTTCTTGAGTGAATCTCAGTCTGCATTGATACACGTCATGGCAGAGTCACGTGCGTTCCTGCGCCTGACACCGTTCCAGAGAAGATTAGTTCTGCTAAATAGTTCTGTCTGGAGCTTCCAGACACAAAATATCTGCCGCCTGCCTCCCCCATACACACACACTCATGCACTTTGTCATGTCTTGCATACAAGTTGGTCAAGGAGAACATACCTTTTTCTGAGCAATGAAGTTGCGTGTCCCGCAGTTAAGGTTTGGCGTGTGCGCGGTGTTGTGATTTCATCAAACAGCAGCGTCTAGGATTCATCTCTGTCTTCCTTCTCCCTTTTTTTTTTGTCCTGACAAAATCGCCGTTGCGGTATTCAAGCTCGGGAGGCCTACTTCCCAGAGATGTGTTCCGGGCCAAGGTTCAAAAGCCGACCTCTTGCACAGACTGAACTCCTGACGACGGATGCCTCCGGTTTTTCCACAAAGGATGGGGTGATTTAAGGAGGGAAGGAAGAGGAGGAGGAGGAGAAGAAGGGGTGTCGGAGTTCCAAGTTCCCCCCTCCCCGCCCTTCTTTTTACTCCTCTATTTTCTTTGGAGTGGCCCGGCCTACTTTTGATGTCACTACTTGGTTCCCAAAAAATATATATATCTCATTGTTGTGATCTCTCAGGCGCATTCCCAAGCAACCGGTGGCGCAATTGCCCATGACTCACAGAGCCATTTTACTAAAGAATAGGAAAAGCACAGGGAAACGTGACAATGTCGGCGAATCAGTTATCTTGATAGTGACATAAATATCAATATCTTTGAATCCTTGAATTTCACCCAAAGCAGTTGATGGATTATTTTATCGTGAGGTGTGCGAAGATTTCCTTTCCGGTAGAGCGGTGTGTACGTCGCTCTTCTCGCTCTTCTTTCAGCGAGATGTGTGCACTGATTTCTGAAATAATAAGCATGTCTGTGTTGTAACTGCTCGTGTGCGTGTGTGTGTGTGTGTGTGTGTGTGTGTGTGTGTGTGTGTGTGTGTGTGTACGTACCTACTACTATTGACCAATCGCGAGTAAATCTAGTCAATCGCTTGGACCAACTCAGTATTGACCACACACGCATAAGGATTTAAAATCGGAAAAATTGAACAGGTGTAACATTCACAATTATCAACCATTTTCTGACCAGATCAAGGAGGAATAAGGGTAATATAACCTTCGGTCCTTTGCCGGCAGGCATTGATCGGAAGCGGCGGAATGTGGCTCAAATTTAGCCTAATTATCGGTTTGCGTTTACCCCAATTTACGTGATTGCTGCTCTTCAGGACGGCCACCTCATGGCTTCCAGCCTCCTGATTGCCCACTTTCTCCTCCTGCGACGGGTTGATGCTCATTATGACAAACTACTGCTGGCAATACCTCTGGCTGGAACAGAGATCTGACTGATTGGTGGTGTTTTTGCTTCGGGTGCGTTGTCGGTCCCTGCCTACACTTCTCTTATCAACGTCATCATCTGCTTACAGCAAAACCGCAGACGGGAACGTTTTCTTTCTGTCTCACAGATTTAAACGGCGATATTCCATGACCTCATTCATACTTTATGCATGTTTTGTCACTCGCACTCATCTCCGTTCCACGTGTGTGTGTGCGTGTTTCATTCAAAGAGGGAAAAACTGTTTATGCCCTTGACGTGTTTGGTTGAGTCTGTAGGATCTCGCACCTCCATCCGTCTTTTCACTCACTCTCACCTCATCTTGCACCAACTCTTGCTTCTCTTATGGGAACCAAACAAACGTGGGGCTGCTAGAAAGAACCCAGCCAAGGTGCTGGTAACATATCAGCTGTGCAATGAGTTGCCTTCCATCTGCATTTAATTTCAAAGCCTTCAATGTGTCTGAGAGGCTCATACTGGATTTCTCTGTCAATAACAAGGATCTGCAAGGCGGGCCAAAGAACTAAAGCCACTTTCAAAATATAAGGATGCCAGTGGTTTAAATTAACAGGATTGTGGCTTCTCACTGGGGCCATTCGTTTGCAGTCTCGTGGTTCGAGCCATTGCTTGGTCAATTTTGTGTGTGTGGGCCACTCTAGTAGCAATGTTCAATCCCTGCCCCTGGGAATGTAACCCAGGCTCACCACTGTCCCAGCAAGTGGGGTTCGGTTCTACATTCGCCCTCCTGCACGAGATCCCGAAATCGAGCCGACTTCACCATGCCATGAAATTCGCACGCAAAATGTTTGTAGTTCTTGAATCCTTTGGAGTGTTTGGAGCAACGCATGCCAAATTTCTGAAAGCTCCTTTATCTCTCTTTCCGAATGGCGAGGAGCCGTTCCCGGCTGTGGGGCTTTGTGTTAATATTTACGTCACGCGAGGCGAAGAATCTGACCCAGAGTGTCCAAGGCAAAAGGGGGGAAAAGTTGAGAAAAGATTTTTAACTCCATGGGAGTTTGCTCAGAGTTACTCTGGCCGACTTGGTCAAACATGAAACAAGGTGGTCCGCACGCACGCACGCCTTGGACCTGGCATCTGACCCTGTTAGCGCTCCCAGTCTTGTTTGTGTATTTGTCTTTGCTTTGTAATGAGCTGAACTCCCAGGAAAATGTGTGTTGTTTTTTTTTTTTGTTTTGTTTATTTGTTTTTGTGTTTTTGTTCCAGAGCCAGCAGATGGCCCTTGTCTCCATTTGGCTCATACCAAGGCATTCAAACCGATTTGATGAAGCTTAACCCTACTCCTTCCTCTCTTTCTCTCTCTCTCTTTAGGGATGTACCTGTCCGACCTGACCTACGTGGATTCGGCCTACCCCTCCACAGGCAGCATCCTGGAGAACGAGCAGCGGTCCAACCTGATGAATAACATTCTCAGAATCATATCGGACCTGCAGAGATCCTGTACCTACGGTGAGTTGGAAAACAAACTTCACTGGTTCAAGTCTGAGAACCGGATCCAAAAATTGAGCACAGTCTATTATTACGATTGTGGAAATATGCTGTAATAAAAGGCAGTAGACTGCCCATGTGAAGAGTATTCTGCAAGTTGTTGCCATTTTTCCTTGCTGTTGTTCTGTCTGAACATCCCCTACGGCGCGTGGGAGCATTTGCCACCTTCTGACATCGTATCAATTTACAGAAGCAAGACACTTTAACATTCTGCAGAATCAAGTCCGCTCGGAATTCTGCATCACTAGAACGGTCCCTTTTCCTGCCCTGCTGTTGTTGAAAGCAATTGTCAAGCCACTAGTTAGTAATCGATTGAAAGTGCCCGCAGTTGGGTCAATATCCCACTTTGATGGGCTCTCTGTAAAACACAATTTCCAATTAAAATCTGGATGCGATCTTTGCGTGACAGTGGCGACAGTATTGATGCGAACTCCACTCCTTCACCCACCGATTTTTCTATACCGAAGTGTTTCCATGTGTCTTTCAGATATCCCACTGTTGCCTCACATCCAGAAGTATCTCAACTCGGTCAGGTACATCGAGGAGCTGCAGAAGTTTGTGGAGGATGACAACTACAAGTAAGTGGCTGTTAAAATTGGCAGTGCGCAGATTCTCTCGAGCCGCAAAGCTCCTTTCATCAACGTGCTTTTGTTCAGGTTGTCGCAGAGGATCGAGCCTGGCACCAGCACGCCGCGTGCTAATGCTTCCAAAGAGGATCTTGCTGGTGAGTGTCGGGCTCTACAGTCCCCTGCAGAAGTATGGAACGGCAAGGTCCATTTCTTTGTGTTTGTTGTATACTGACGACATTTGCGTTTCAGATCAAAAGATGAATAGCACACAAATGTTCCGAATTCCAGAGTGTTTTATTTTTGGGTGGTATTTACATTAAGATGACAACTCAGGACAGAGCACCTTTGGTTGAAGGCCACTTTTGAAAAGAGTGAAATGAATTGGAACAGACATTATTAAAGTCAATAAAATGTAATATTTGGTGGCATAAACCTTGCAGTAACCACATCAAGCCTGCGACCCGCTGAGGTCTCCAGACTGTTGCAGTCTTCATTTCAAATGCTTTTGCAGGCCTTTACTGCAGCCTCTTTCGGTTCGTGTTTGTTTCTGGCAGCTTCAGTGTCCTCTTCAGGAGCCAAAATGTCCTTTATGCTGGCAATGTGTTTTGAGTCAGTCTTGTTGCATGACAAAGATTCTTCAGATTAGTTTGGACGCATTTTTCTGTTCAGAATTAATTCTGCTGCTCCCATCACGAGTTACATCATCAATAAAAACTAGTGAGTTCATTCCAGAAGCAGCCATGCAAGCCAACGCCATGAAATTACCTCCACCGTGTTTCACAGCTGAACTTGTGTGGTTTTTTTTGGGATCAAAAGCAGCTCCTGTCTTCCTCCATACTCGCCTTTCCATCACTTGGTCTCATCAGTCTATAAAACTTCCAAAACGTTTGTGGCTCATCTCTGTACTTTGCAAAATCCATTCTGATGGGTGTGTATGCTGCGTGTATGTATTAAAAGTAGACAGTGGTACTTTTGAACTTTCAAGTGCCCCCAACTTACGGCTCTCCATCCCACAGGCCAAGAGGCATCTGCATCTCCTCTGTGCGGCCGCAAGTGTTCAGTGGTGGCCGACGCCACTAAAGTCCCAGCCACGCCCCCTTCCCCGAGGAACCTGCTTCCCTACGGACACCGCAAGTGTCACAGTCTGGGCTACAAGTTAGTCTGTTTTTTTTTTTTTTCTCCATGCATTTTACATATCCGTTTGTCAGCCGGGACTGGTATTTGCTGCGTCCTTTTAGTTTCATCCACAAGATGAATACAGTGGAGTTCAAGAGCGCCACGTTCCCCAACGCTGGCTCGCGCCACCTGCTGGATGACAGCGTGATGGAGAGCAACAGTCCCACTCGAGGCCAAGCTGAGAGCTCCACACTGTCCAGCGGCATTTCACTTGGTGGGCACTAGGGATGGGCGATACGGCTTTAAAATAATGTTTTGATATTTTATAAAAGGGCATAATTTATTTATTTAAATTCACTCCCCCCCCCCTTCAGGGAGCAGTGAAGGCTCAGAACTCAGCGAGGAAGTGTCGTGGCCGGCTTTTGAGAGGTAAGAACCTTAGGGTGGTCCTCATCCTTGTCTGTTGTGTTTTTTCCATCGCAGCCGTGGTCAAGGTGATGAATATCTTCTTCCTTGAAGCGATAGACGTTCACGCAATAAATCCTGCTTTTCCAAGGCCGCCGTGCCTCACCCACCGCAATGTTGCTGAGATTTTAAAACTCAAGACACCTTGAGATTTAAAGAAATCATGTTCGTCCCAAATTGCTGTCACTCTCCTACTCCCAGCCAGACTGAAAATCACCTTCCAAACGTGACTGAACGTTCCTAAAGAGAAAGCCCTGCTCTTTCTTTCCACCCGATGTAAACCCCCTTTGAACTCTGAGGGGAAAACACAAAAACATCAAAAAAAAAAGAGTGTTCCGTGGCGGCTACCCTGTTCTATCTTATCCTATTCTGAACAGGACTCGGTTCTATCACTCTCTGGGCCCAGTGACCCGCGTGGCCCGCATCCCCTACCGAGGAGTCCTGAGGCCCAGCAGGTATACACACCCGAGCAGAATACCAACCCCACCTGAACTCAAACTTCGCTTTTGTCCTTACTTGGTGCCTGCCTTTCAGCGCCTGCCAGGGGGCGGCCGCTGATGGCTAGCTTCCAGTGTGTGAATCTGTGAGTGTGTGTGATTGTGTTTCTAATGCTGGGCTCATCTTTGGGTGTATTCGGGTGACAGCACAAATCAGTTGAAGGGGAGGAAGTGGTTATTTGTCTAAAATCTACTTTTGCTTTTTTCTTGCATGTATTTCTCGCTCTCTCTCTCTCTTACTCTCTCTCTCTCTCACACACGCGCACACGTGCACACAAATGACCGAAAATTAGATGTACATAACTAGCTCAATGTGAGCCAATGCTAATATGTCTTTGGTATAAACAACGCCCCTGCCTTAACAGCCTTTTACCCTCAAATATAAAGCTTTATTCTGAAAGGAATTAGGCCTTATTTTCTTGTAGATTAATATATTTACTGAAAATGTTTCTTTTTTTAAGACTATGACTTAAAAAAATATTACCGGTACCAATATTCTCAATTATACTTTTTTTATTCTCTGAAGATTAGCGAGAAAGGGCAGTTCGTAAACTTGAACAATAAAGATCCCTTGTACTTTTTGTACACACTAATAATCTTTGTTTGAAAGGTTTTACAGCTCTGGCCACAATCTGCACATCACCTTGCTTGCAGCACCTCTGCAGACAAAACCTCCAAGCAGAGTTTAAGATGGCTTTGCAGATTGTGTCGCCTCGCTACTTAGCCCATATCTACTCGTAGCCGCTGTGCACGTCGTCATGCTTGTTTTTTGGTTTAGGTTTCTCGTACGTGTCTCGAGTGACGTCTCGTTTCATGTCACCTGTTTTGTAGCTCGGCGGAGTCAGAGGAGCTGGCGGTTCACCTTTATCCTGGTGCGGTGACGGTGCAGGGGGTACTGAGGCGGAAAACTGTACTCAAGGAGGGCAAGAAACCAACGGTGAGCACATACAGACTTTTATGATTTTGACTAATTAGTTTTTCTTGTAGGACGTAAAACGCTTTGACATTATCATAACAAATGTTGAGCTCTCTGGATGTTTACGATCTGGCTCCCGGGACTACGGTTGATTAATGAGGTGAACAAAGCGCAGCAACAAAATCTCCATTGTTAATCCGGCCAACGCACATCAGGAATATTAATTATCTTGACGTCTTTTTCTCCCTCGCATCCCTTAGTGGTGTGTGCGCTTGGAAAGTACATGCCTCAGTGACCTTATTCGCAAATAATGGACACTCCCCATTGCAAAATGTTTGCAGTGAATCGCTGCTAGATCACACGCCATTGTTTGCACCCCTGCTCTATCGCAGATTTTTTTTTTTGTTAATTTAAGTTTAGCTTGGGTTTAGAATTACTTTAACATCTATGCAAATTTCTGACATAATTGTTGTGTGCTTGCAGGTGGCGTCCTGGACCAAATATTGGGTGGCTCTTTGTAGTACCCAACTTTACTACTACCCTGTCAAGTCCCTGAAGGCAACAGAGAGAAAACATGTAAGCCATACATACACACACTTGCAGAGTGTGCTCACGTCCTGCGTGCTGATGAGAGACTGCAGGTTTTCCGACGCTTGTTTGCCGGCGCAGGTGATACCTATTAAATGTTTAACACGCAGCGCAAGAACGTCTATATGTACACAACGCAGTGTACTAAATGAGCCTAACAAACATCATCGACTCCCTAAGACATCTGATAGCCATTATTTACTCTCGTGCATACACAATGATGTCAAGGAGGAACATTCCACTTGGTGTGCGGCCGAGAAGGGAAAACAATGGTCAACGTGATCAATTTGTTTTGTTTTTTTGGACTGCCTGATTGCACGAAAAAAAGTGTGACTTAAGGCTGGGTACGTACATAATGATAATTGGGCCGAAAATTTGAGGGAATGGTATATTTCAAGCTGGTCCACAAGTTTGCAATCCACCATACAGTATGCCAATTGCCAGCCGCTAAAGTTGATTGACTTAATTCATTGTCAGCAGTATCAAATGTTCCACCGATACAGGGCAGTAATAGAAGGTTATGAGTAGTATGAATACAGTACAATGACATTGTACTTCGACCTGAAATGACTGTTTAGTTGCATTAATATGGTGCCCGCGAAGCTTCAGTGTAAACATTTTATGTCGACCTATAATTATTCGATTGAGACTTTCCACGGCCTTTCCGTATTCCATATTTTTAACATCCTAACCAATTTTCGTTTGAAACGTGAAGGATCCCCACATAACAAGGCAAAAGATTTACCATTCTAAATACCATTTATATGGTTCATACGGTTTTCGGAGCAGATCAAGGAGGGGAAAAAATGACTCTTAACACACCCCACATCACAAGATAATCGTTCAGGATAATCGTTTGAAGACCTCCAATAATCTGGCCTTTGTTGCTTGATCATCAAGAAGGGAAAATGCTCACATTTCGCCAAATTTTCACTATGTGTGTCCCGCTCTTAAAGTGTGGTTTCAGACAAAAAGCCAACGAGCATGCCAGAATTGAAGTTGATTGCTGTCCGACGTGGGAAATTGTTGCACAAAGCCCCTTGTTCAGCTTGTATCACATTGACGCCGGTGTGAAGTGAAAACTGTGCAGGACCCATGCCGTGTGTGCGTGTGCGGACAGATGGTAGCACTCATTGACTAATGAGAACAGTGACATCACTCCCATACTGCGTGTCACTCACAGCTAATGAGAACCTTGTGGAGGAAACACGCACACGCGGGCACATACACACGTACATAAACACACGTTAACATTGTTTCCCGGTGTCGTCCTGCCAGTTCAAGTCAAAGTCCAGTAAGAGCGTGTGTGTGGTTGGTCTGATGGCCATGATGGCGGACGATCCCGAGCATCCGGATGTCTTCATGCTGACCGACACGGAGCATGGTGAGTTGCGCACGCACACAAACACAAAAGGCAACTCTGTGTATAATATATGAAGTTACATTCATAAAATAATAATTCTGTGGCATTTTTAAAAAAAATGTGACGAGTCGTCTCTCTGTTGCCTAGGTAACACCTACAAGTACCAAGCGGGAAACAGGATGAACGCCTTGCTGTGGTTCAAACATCTGAGTGCTGCGTGTCAGAGCAACAGGCAACAGGTGCCATTTACATGCTACATTAACTTCACAGTGTTGCGCTCCGGTAGCTGGTTCAACTTAACTGAGCTTCATGTCACTTCCGTGTTTGAATTGAATAGACGATAAGGTAATGGACAATATGGAAACGATTACCAAACTATATACACATGATTAACCACTGTAAAATGTTGAAAATAGCTTGAGAGGAAAACTGAAGTCTTTTGAATACTTGGACTTTCTGAGAAGTGCTGCATGGCATTTTATCTCCTCAAGGTTGAAAGTCGCAACAAGTAATAAATCCTCGATGGGCAATAACGAGTGAAAATAGTTCATATAGATAATTTGATTTGGCCTCCATTGTAAAAAATCTAAATCTGTAATGTTTCAGTGTCGGAAGAATCCCGTCAGTCACAATTGTTTTTATTTTTTTATTGCATCACTCACGGCTCTCAGACGTATTATATAACCCGTCGTTCGTTTTCCTTATTTCGCCTTTTCACTTGTTGGGACCACCGACTTTGTTCGGCACCGCTGGTGTCGGTGACGTATTTATCTGTAGCATTATAAGCACCGAGAGCCTAATTAATTTAGCAATCAAACATAATAACTTAACCGATGAGGTGTTTGATAATGCAGGAAATGTTTTTTTCGGGGGGTTTTTCCCAATATTTACTCATGCAGGTGCCAGCCAATCTGATGTCATTTGAGTGAGCGGCCCGACAAGGAGGCGGTGGAGCTTTATGACCACCACTTGGAGCTTTCACTGCCCGATGAACGCATTGCCGCCGCCCCCTGGCCTCACTGCAGCCTCACCTGCCACCACTGCCTTAATCGAGAACCCTGCGTTATGTGTGTGTGTGTCTACGTGTTTGTGGATTTACGGTCTTCGACTACTGAACAAGGAAGCGCACCACTGCTCTCATGTCTGATTGGGCAATTGGACTGGTTTTCACCAATCAGACGGAGCTCATCCCCTCCTTTTTATTTAGATTTGTCTCCCCCCCCATACCCCTTTTTTTTTTTTTTAATGGGTGTCCCCTTTCTCCCGTGCTCAGAAGACTCACTTTGGGGCCATTCAAAACATTTCTGTACCCTGGCTCACAGTTTTTGGGGGGAAACTATGATCAAGCATAAGGGCTCCACTAATTGGTCGCTTCCTGAATTTTTTTTTTTTTTTTTTTGTACGTCTGGTTTTTTTTTTTGTTTGTTTGTTTGTTTTTTTTAAGTTAGAAGCCCCTCAGCCTTCCATTGTTTTTGTCAAGTATTTTGTACATATAATGTGTTTGCGGGTAGGCGCATCTGTCACCCCACCCAGGTACAATAGTCCCAGAATCTAAGCTACAACACGCCGCTTGGATGCTTCCTCCATTTTAACAACTTTGGGCTGGCAACAGAACAACAAGCAGACTGTGAAGCATTTTTTGTACGTCTGTTTTTTTTTTTTTTGTTTGTTTGTTTGTTTTTTTTTAAGTTAGAAGCCCCTCAGCCTTCCATTGTTTTTGTCAAGTATTTTGTACATATAATGTGTTTGCGGGTAGGCGCATCTGTCACCCCACCCAGGTACGATAGTCCCAGAATCTAAGCTACAACACGCCGCTTGGATGCTTCCTCCATTTTAACAACTTTGGGCTGGCAACAGAACAACAAGCAGACTGTGAAGCAGATAGTCTGTGCCGTGGACTCTAAAGCTACCCGGAGTTGAGTTGATTATTTTTTTTTGACAAAAAAAGTAGTGTTATGCTTTTCTTCTGTTTTGCGGAGAGAGTCAGTGCAGATGACACAGTATTACCACGCAGTAGACTGATTGCACATTGTGTCTGTTACATCGAATTTGAAACTGTTACATTTGCTGTGTTTCGTACCATGAAAGTAGATCTGTCGTTTGAGTTTAGATTTGAATTTCGAAAATACCATTAGAATATTCCGTTTTAAAATTTAAAAAGGATAGAGTTCAAAATAGTCAAAATATATATAAAGTAACACAACTTAACATCGAAAAAATATCTGTTTAAAACAATTGTGAAAAAACTATATATATATATATATATATATATATAACACACACACACACACAACCTTTTTTAACCATCAATTTATACAAGACATTAAAAAATTTCGAAACAATAAAAAAAAATCTTTGAAAATCTCAAATATTCAGTGTAAATAAAATCTGTACAAAACTATCTAAAAATGTTTTGTTAAAAAAAATTTGTTAAATCCATCAAGAAAATCATTGTTGAATAATTGTGTACATCTAAATTGAATGCGTTTTTTTTTAATTGATTTTTTGTAAATATAAAATTCTTGTTTGAAGCAATTGACAAGTAAAACGTTCAACATAGAAAAATTCTGTGAGTGTCTTTAAAAGAAATGCACTGAATTCTTTATGATGTTGCATTTTTTCAATTCTCCAAACCGAAACCTCAAAAACATATGAGTCACTGAATTTACATGGATTTTTTCTTACATATTTTTGGGAAATGTTAATTATTTTTCCACAGATTTTTTTTTTTTTTAACATGGATTTTTTTTTTTTTTTTTTTTGGGCGGGGTGCTGTTCTTTCTTTACATCAAAATATTAAAAACGGAATATTTGAATGGTAATAATAGTTCTGTCCCAAATTACAAATGGAACAAATTAAATTGCAACTCAGATGCCACTGATCTACATCCATGTTCTTTTCCTCCTTTGCATTTTTTGGTGCGTATTATTTTTTACGCCCCACCTCTCAGTTGTAGCGTTTGCATCCGCACCTTACCAATGTTGTGCGCCAGTGAAGAAGCACGTTTGGGTGTTGAGTGCTTTCAAAATGGCTGTTTACATGCGCACGTTTACATCATCTGCCTATGGTGAGCTCCCTCCCACTAATGCACTTCACAGACCCAACAAGTAAACCCAACAATCTCGCCAGCTAAAGTTAACAAGCCCAAACAAAATCAGCAGACTTGGTCACACAAGTCGGACGATCCTGTGGAAGATAAAATGAGGAAACCAAAGCCAGGCTCGGCAGTATCCTGCATGCCTGTATGTACATGTATGCATATAGATATATATATCTAAATATATATTTTTACTTGAGCCACTGGCAGCTGTGAATCAATCATCTGCGTCGTGACTTGAAGGCCGAGCGAAAAACGGCGGTTCCTGGGTGAGCGTTTGGTTATTTGGGACAACAACAAAAGAAAAAGAGGCTCTGAATGAGACTGAGGGACGCAGGGACTTTTTATGTCTTTGAGACATCACCACAATGCATTTGCAACCCGAATGAGGACAAGCACAACAGAGAAAACGGATTGATTGTTTTAGCGTTTCGAAAAGACAGCCATTTTGAGCACCTGTAAATGGTGAATCGACAAGAAAAACATTTCAAATGCATTGCGGTCGTGGTTAGCGATGAACTGACTAATGTTAATTGAAGGTTTGGACAGAATGCAGAAGGGTTTTTTTTTTTTTGTACATGGAGGGCAGGGGGTTATTTTTCAATCATACTAGGAATTTTCAATTTACAAAAAGCGCTTATTGTGAGTTGTTTGTTTTTGTGTACCACTAATGTACTGTTTAGGGTCACACAACTTTCAGTCCACCTGCCAATCACAATTCACACAATGACTGTTCACGTGGGTGGTGGTGGAGGGTGGGGGGCACTCAAATGTCAAGCCTCCGTCCCCAGCCTCTCATGTCACTTTTGAGTCATTGGCAAGTCGTGAAAATACCCTTCTCGCTCTTTCCGTTTAAGGTGGGACCCCTGTCCTCTCACAAAACACCACACATACACCATAAATTGATCTTTTAATACATGATGTGGTCAATGTGTTTCCATGCTGTGAATGAATCCTGCCTTCTGAGCGAGAGTTTGCCACCCACAATTTGACAAAAAGTTGGCAATGCAGATGTGTACATGCCGCCGTGTGTGGGTGGGTGGGTATTTGGTGTGTGTGGGTATTTGGTGTGGGTGAGGGTGAGCGCTATGACCTCACTGCTGAGTGATGTGCTCACCGGTGTGAACACCGAGAACCAATAAACACTCTGCCCTATTTTTTACTCTACACATTTGGCTGCAGCTCTTTGTCTCATCAATGTTCAATCATTTTTATGCTGTACTAATGTTTAACTTTTTCTTAATATCTTGATAAAATGTTAGACTGTCGGGATGATGCATTGCATTTGACCAGTGCAAACTACAATCACAATAAATATTGTGAAATTATGTATTGAAGGTGAATTTTTCTTAGCTGTTTTTTTAACATACCTAAACAGTTTTACAGCAGCAAACGTTAAATCATACGTTATTTTTTAGACTTTTTGAGAATGAATGTTCGTGAATATTTTATAAACGTTTTACAATGAAAAACAATTTTTACAATATTTTTAAATTGACAGCAACTATTCAGCATTTTTTGAATGATTAAAGTAGCAGTATGATACAGTACCAACAATTAATATTTTTATGTATTTAGAATAAAATTAACACTTTCTTTTCCTAGAATACTGCTTTACAAAACACTGCCAATATAATGCATTGCAGTTTTGCACTACAAGTTACAAGCACAATATTTCTAAATTAATAGCTAGCTTTTTATTTTGAAATTATAATAATCATAATTTCAAGAATATTTATCTTTGAAAAATACCACCTGAAACTGTCCATGTGTACGTTCGTGTGTGTGTGGAGAAACCGTTCTCAAAATGCTATGATGCTTTTCATAACGCTCCACGTACGAGTCTATAAAATCCGATGTTTCTTGAACGTACCGTGCGAAATGCCCGATACTCTTGGTCCGACAGCGCTCCCTGGAGGCAGTAAGGGAAGAAGCAGCGAATGTTTCAAAAGTGGACGGCACCGAGCATCAACGAACCGACCGCAGCCGGAGGAAGCAAACCGTAACCGCCTAAAAGGGCTCCCGCGCAGCATCGACTGACCGACACATCATATCCGGGAGTGGAATTGCTCAATTAGCATCTTTTAATTGCTCGATTCGCCCCCGAAAAACTGCGGACAGCGTATGGACGCGAGGTGAGAGAGAACATGAACGATGACGTTAGCTCGCTAACTAGCTTAGCTTCTAGCTTCCACAGCCAGGTGCAAGAGGCAACACAGGTTGGCCAAAAGGAGATTACCTTTAAACGGCACAGCTACTAACCATACAGCAACTGTTTGCCACTTTGGTTTGAAATCTATGAGGCCATTCGCATGCATAGAAACAACACTGGAGTAATCCATACAGAAGAGCAACACAGGTTGGCCAAAAGGAGATAGTTACGTTTAAACGGCACAGCTGCTAACCATACAGCAACTGTTTACCACTTTGGTTTGAAATCTATAAGGCCATTCGCATGCATAGAAACAACACTGGAGTAATGAAAGAGCGATTGTGTGTCTGGACGATGACGGGGAGGAGGAGGAAAAGGAGGTGAGCTTTTGCCTGCGTGGCTCTCTTATTCACTCAGGGCAAATGTATTGAACATTCATTACTAATAGTAGTACGCCCTTCTATCCGCACTGGTGGAACTGTTATCTCGCTAGTATTGTTTTCCATCACTGCGTGGCCTTTTGTGTATAATATTAGGACCACTTAGGCATACTAGTGGAGGTAACACGTTACAACTCTTGCACTAGCTGACACCTGCTCGCTTGCCGTTCTACTTGTGTAGAGCACGATGTTAACTAATAGAATTTTATGTCACTAATACAAAAAAAAAAATCTAGTACTAGTAGCATGGAGTTGTCAGTTACATTTTCCATTTATTGTATGACATTTGGGCATACTAGTTGGATATATGTGACTACTGACATAAATGTGCACTAGAAGTCTAACTACTAGCGATCATCGTGTACTCGTACATGGACCTGAAGCAGGTTATCGAATAAACGCTCAAGCTGTTTTAGTAGAACGATTGTGTCTTACTCGCAACATTTTTCACACAACTGTATGACAATTTGACACACTGGTAGCGCCGCACGTGTGCTAGTTGACATCTGGCTGCGAAGTGAATCGCTCAATGTCCACTAGTGCAATTTTATAACGCGAGTATCTAAAGCCGTTTGAACATTCATTCGTTTTTGTTAAAAAGTAAGATGTTATTACAGTTGCAGCAATTAATCAACTTTTCGTCAATTATCAAATTCATCGACAACTTTTGCTCATCAATTGTTTTGAGACATTAATCAAAATTAATCAGTCTGAGTTT